ATTCACCCTGTAGGTGCCCTCCTCCACACTAGGTTGGCTACTTTTCAACCAGTTAATTATTCCATAAATATTCTTCCCACTATCCTACTCTTTCTGTACTCATCTTTCAAGTATTAGTTCAAACTCCAACTCCCTCCAAAGAATCTTCCCTACATAGTCTAGGGTCGACTCTCTGCTCTGTTTTTGGTTACTGCAGGATGTTAGCACCACCTAATTTTATACCTTGTCATTAATCATCCAGTTTTGTTCTCTGTATTTTCTCTGAATCTAAGAATATCTTTGCCACTCCCTTAACTGAATCACCTCATTTTATTGCTTTCATAAAATCAGAATGGTGTATTGATGAATAAAACATCCATTGTGAATTGTCAGTAAATGTTTAAGAAGTGACTTGCACTTTATTTGGATCCCATAGATACAACTTTTAAGCTTTGTAATTTTAAAATTTAACAAATGACATTTGTGTCTGTGTGTGTCCATCTGTCTTTCTGCAAGCAAAATATGTCTATTCCATTTGGAATTAAAAATAATAAGGTATTGCAGTTATAGAAATAGTTGGGTGTTTCATCTGAAAAACTTCTAGAACACATGTCATTTATTCATTCAGACCTAGGCACTATAAGCCTTACTTCTAGACGCATGCATTCCATGTGCAAATCCTCCCCCAGTGCAAGCTTTAAGCATGGGAGAGGAAGAGGATGGAAATAGTTCCACCTTATTTGAGGGTTTAGGGCAGCTGTGTAGCTGTCCAATAAGTGTATACAGATAGGCAGCTCAGGTGGTAGAGAAAGCTGGCTGCTGGCATGCCTAGGATGGCAATATATTCCCAGGCAAGCTCCCAGACATCTACAAGCTGGCATTTCTCACTCCTCGTGACAATTTGTTTGCCCTGCAGTTAATTAAGATCAGAAGATTCCTCTGTTGTTGGCTCCCACATCATGGAAGGAGTGACTCTGAGAATTGTGCCCAAAGTATTAATCAAAACACTGTAGAACATGAGAAGTTCCCCATTTGCAATACATTTGAAAACACTGGAGTAGATATTAGGAAAAAAAAAAAGCATAATACTTTCTAAAGGCAACAACCCATCATTATACTGCATGGGTTCAACTCCTGAACTGGATTGAGTGACAGTATTGATTAGAATTCAAAACTGCCAATAGGATTAAAGTGTATACTACCTGCTCAAGAGAATATTGCAAAATTCAACATATACAAAATGACCTTTATATGGCTATTCAAAAATACTTTGCTGTAATGCCTAAGAACTTGGAATAAATTTTTAAGACTCATTGATTTTACATAAAATTTAATGTAAAAAAACTCAAGAAAAAATGCGTATGTCTCAGACTTGGCACAAAATAGGTGCTCAATAAATATTGTATTAAATGATGGTGCAAAAATGCTTTCACTATCCAATCTTCAAAAAGCTTATAGAATAAGTATATGGAATCAAAGATACATGATGCTAACAGTAGTTTTTATAAATTTGCAAAGCATTATTGTCCTTAATGTATCTTTTCTGCTTTGTATCTACCTTTTCTTCATTTGCTTCATTTATTGCTTCTCAATATGCTTACTTGACTGTTGCAGATCCCCGTGAAATTAAGCACAAAGAGATTTCTTCAACCAGAAAACCCTATTGTTCTAAAGGTTGAGTCAAGAGATGGGACCACGACTGGAGCCTGACTTTCCCTAAGGACTTCTGCTTTGTTCTTCTAGAAACATCTAAGAACAACAGAGATCCCAATTTACACTGTAAATAAAATGCAGAAATGAAAAGAGCTTCACCTAGGGCACTTGATGAACGACTAGGAATTCTGTCCATTCATCGTGGTCTCTAAGTGTCTATTGAAGAGTGTATGTTGTGTGATATAAAGGAGGTGACTAAACCAAAGCCACATATATGAATTCCAATTCTCTGGTCTCATAGAACAATCACCAACAACCCACAGTAATTACCATTGACTTCCCCATATCTCTAATAAGAAAATAAACATTTCTTAACAATTTTATCAAGAAATGTTTGATAAAAGTAAGAAATATTATGGTGGCTATAATCATGGCATTTGTACCACCTGTTCTATTTGTAATATACTATAATAAGTATTATACTGAGAAAACCAATGAACATTTCTTTACAAAATTGTTATCTAATGCCTTCATGCACATTAAAGAAGAATCTATAGGACTGAATGATTGAGAACCAGCAACTAAGAATTTTTTGTCATCATAACCACTGGTTCAGTGGGCCTATTTCAAAACTCCAATTTGATTATTAACATAGGTGAGAATTAAGCCATTGTGACTTTGCCCATTACTTAGAATGTATATTCCTGGTTTAATTTTACCATTCAAATTGCAAATTTTTGTAATACTCACAGGAGGAATTTATTATTATACTATTAGTTGTGATTTAATATCTTAATCCCATCTCCCTTGATGTTTCTGGAAGGCAGGAAGCATGTTTTCTTATATCTCTTATAGTCCATCTTCCACTTCCAAATTGTCTAAGCACAATAAACACTGAATAAGAAATTGTCAGTTTGAAGTGTTTTCCTTTGTAAGTTACCTGCTGCTCTCACCTGCTTTTGAGGCTCGTAGGTTTGCTCTTTTGTGTTTACTTTGGCCAGTCTAAGACCTATGTTTTGTGGTGATTTCCTCTTCATAATGAATCCCCCCAGGAGATTCTTGAACCTGGATATCTAAATGTCTAGCAAGGCCAGCAAAATTTTCCTCAATTATTTCCTCAATTAGGTTTTCCAATGCTTGTGTATTTTCTTCTTCACCCTCAGGAGATGCTTATGATTCACATCTTAGGCCTGTTTACATACCCCCATATTTCTTGTAGGTTTTGGTTGTTCCTCTTGTTTCCCAGTTCTTTTTAATGGATTGACTTTTTTAACTCAAAGGTGTTGTTTTCAAGCTCTGAGATTCTTTAATCTGCCTGATCTAGCATTTTCTTAAGGTTTTCCACTGTGCTTTGCATTTGCTTGAATGAATTTTTCTATTCATGAAGTTCTGTTGGATTATTTTAAATAATTTGATTTCCTTAACAAATTTTTTTTATTCCCACATTGTTCCTGTGGTTTCCTTGTGTAGGGTTTCTATTTTCTCTTGTACTTCATTATACTTCCTTATAATCCATATTAAAAAGTCTTCATCTTCATTTCAATCTTTTGATTTTGTATGGTATTCATTGGTAGGGAGTAATTGTGATCTTTTGGGGCTGTCCTTTTGCTCTGATTTTTCATGTTTCCAGAATCCTTTTGCTAGTTCCTTCTCATATGGCTTCTCAGTCAAGACCTGGGGGTGCTAGGCCTGGCTCAAGGGCCCACTTCTGGTTCCCCAGGATTGATCCCTGAGTGTTCCAGGAAGAGGAGTGCTGGTCCAATTGTCTATGGGGTGTTCTAGCAGGTTTGATGTACCAATGTGGTTACCTCTGACCTGCTATCTTCACCTCTTCCCAACAGTGTGTAGTGAGTTAGATCCCCTAGTTTACTCTTTGTGATACTGGGTAGTACTTATGGGTGTAATTCAGCCACACCCTCTTTGCTTGAGTTGGGAGATGTCCTGATGGGTTATATCACTGTGCTCCCTGGCATTTGTTGATGATGTGATAGAGCCAGCTCTGAGATGTTCTTTTGTGTCTGCGGTAGAATTTGGTCTCCCAGGTGGAGTACTTAAGTGCTCCAGGCATTAAGAGGGACCCTGTAGCTCTGAGGGGCGTTCTTTGTTTCCTCCATCTCCAAGGAGCTGGGAGAAGAAAGGCAGTCTATGGCTACATAGTGTGAGCCTGAAACCCTTTGCTAAGCCTCAGCAGGGTTTAGATGTTGCTTTTCTAGCCACTAGGGGGAGGCACTGGTAGGAGGGTCAGGACAAGCTCTCCAAACCAGGAGAGCTGTTCACAGGGGAGGGGGCTAAATGCTTGTAGGCTAAGGCCAGGGCTGGGTTTGTTCCACCATTATCAGTAGCACAATCTTTCTGTGGGGAGGGGTAGGTGCTCACCCAAATGGCCACTTCTTGGACATGCACACACACCCTGTACTATTGAGTCAGTATATGCTATAAAGGACATGCAAATTGACCTCCCTGTCAGTAGGTGGAGCTTGCTAGAAGGAACAAGCTGCAATGATATTTATGGGTCCTGTGACTGGCTCTAGTCAGTCCCTTAGGAGAAGCAGTTGAAATCTTTAGGTGGTGCTTGACCTAGAACTTGCAGGTGAGTCCTTATTCTTTATCACAGTAGGAGGAGGTTGGGGAATGTCGCTGGATGGGGCTAGCTTGGGTGAGCCTGCCTTCAGGCTTCACAAAAGCTTCCAAGGTAGCTGTTTTGGTAGGGTTCAATGATCTGCTCCCAGCCTCTGGACAGAGCTGTCAGGGAGTAGCTGAAGGGGCAACCAGAAGACTGCTTGTGGAGGGAGGTCTATCTAAGATTCACATGCTGATACTCTGCAGTGGGCCTTACTCCACTCCCTCTTCCTCTGCTCCACAGTCTGTCTCTGCAATCTGCTGGCAGGCAGGAGCCCAAGCCAGCTGAGCTCCCCACCAACTGTGAGGTAGTTTGGGAAGTTCACCACCCAGGATCCAGCCTTAGCTGAGATTATGGCCCTCCCATGGGGAAAGCGGGTACTACACCTAGGATCCACACTGCACTGTCCCCTTGATCTGCTAATGTGAACTTCCTTACCTCTTGGGATCAAGAAGGTCAATCCCTGACCATACCTGGGAAAAGTGCTATGAACCCAAGTCACCCACAGGATACCTGAGCAGGATCAATGTCCCTTCACTGTTGGGCATGCCCTGCTTGATGGAGCTTCCAGAAAGTAGCATGAGGGAGGGTTGGCAAGCAGCAAGATCACAGTCTGAGCACCTCTTGATGTGCTGCACCAGGAAAGGCCTGGGCCCCACCCACTCTCTGTGGAAGCCTTGGTGTGGTGGCTCATATATCTCTCGCAGCAAGAGATGGTGGGGAAGGGGAACGGGGAAAGAGAGTCTGAATGAATGTTCACAGGCACTCTGGTCATCTTCAACCTTCTCCCTGGGTGGCATGCTGCCCAGAACATCCAGGCTTTGGGGTCACACAGACCACCCGGAACCCACTGAACACCTGCAGCTCCTGCAGTCTGGGCTGGAGTTGGGAAGTGTCTGTGTGGAAAAGGGCAGGATGAGACCTGGGGTTTGAAGACTCCTGGGGAGGACAAAGGTGCATGGTGGATGCACAAGCAGTTTGGCACCTGCTGTCCCTGCTTGGGTCTATGGAGGCGGGAAGAGTCCCAGTGAAGCTTAGAGCCTGGTGCCATGTCCACAAGCAGTGCCCGGCTCACTGGTGGCAGAAGCCTCTTGCTTTGTGTTTTGAGAGAGTCTCTCCAGCAGCTAGGGAGCCCACCAACTTTCGGAGGTGCAAAGGAGAGAGAAAGAAACCACTCTGTCCACCCTTCTCGCAGGACTCCAAGCCTCTCAGGGGTTCGTCTTTGCTGATATGTTCTTCTTGTTCTGCACTGACACTTCTTCCCATGAAGTCTCCTGAAGTTTCTGGCACACATCCTTCAGACTCACATTTGATCTATGTGTATATGTGTGTTTGTTTTCTCTCCTTCATCTAAAACTTCTTCCTGCTGAGATGCTCTGGCAGCTGGTACCTATGGTCAGCCATCTTGCCAGAAGTCCACTGTTTATATTATTGATGTCACAAATTACATCTTTATATATTCTGTACCCATTAATATAGACTTATGGTTATTTTATGGCTTGTCTTTTACTTGCTATGACAGAATAAAAACTGGTGCGAAAAACCAGAATTGCAATAATACAGGTTATTTGGGTTTCCACATGTATATTTTTTACCTAGGAACTCTATATTTTCCTATTATTTCCAGTCACTGTCAAGCAAGAAACAAAAGAGAAGAAACCACATTTCTACCTCTTTGAGTGTCATAATAATCACAGAATGCTACATAGCCCCTTCTTCCTGTCTAAAAATATTCCAAAAATAATCACTGTTGCTAAAGTAACTTCACCAGCTGTAAAATTTATTGATAAAGTTCCTCCCAATAATTTAATGGTTATGAATACATTATGTTTCAGATAGCATCTATAGGTCTTTTCTTTGACAAATATAATTTCTGAGCATGCAACTATCTGTCTTTCAGGTTCTACTTTGATTGCCTATTCTGAGACAGTTGAACTACCAAGGAAATCTTGATCTTTAGTGGCAGCCACAAGAGGAGACCCTAATAGTGTGTTCCTGGGATAAGCTGAATTTATATTCTCAACCTGCCTAAACTAGTCTGATCAAAACCTGAACTTCCTAAGTTTCATATGCTCAGTTGAGGGCATTGTTTAATATTTAACCATATCATACCAGCAAGGTGGTGCTGTAGAGAAATATCAGATATGTGTCATCATTGGTTGTTTTATTTGAATTGCAACACACTCTAGCAGGCTGCTGATCACAGCTACCATGCCTGCATTTCACCTCTCTTCAAGGTCTGCAACCTGGAAAATTTTCGACTTAGCTCTTGGACACCGAAAACATGTGGGTCCAAGGGCCAGATGCATAATCTGAGAGTGAAAGGGTCTTGCCTATGGTCAAGTGAGTGAATGATATATTTGCAGTGGATCCTTGGAGTCTAAACTCATGTGATTATTTCATTCCAACAATACTGTTCCAGTTGTCTTTTCATTTTCTCCTAACCTCATGTCTGGTCTGATCTGGCTATTCCCATCTTTCATTCTTAGCCTGCCTTCCACAACATCCTCTTTCATAAGTCACACTGTGGCTCAGAGACCCTCTGTGCCCCTTGACTCCATGCTTTCAATGAATGCTTACACTTCATTTACAAAGCTGTCCTGGGAGAAGCTAATCAGGCCTGGGCCTTGTCCATTTGGCAACACTTTCTTCTGACATCCATTTTCCACTACTGATGATGATCCCTGATTTAAATGAGCTGACGCAGAAGGTCAAGTATAACCCTAGCTGACCTTGTAGAGAGCAATCTAACTGCCACCTGCTCCTTCCAGGTCTGTCAGTCACCCATCCGAACATGTCCCCCTGCTTGAACCCAGGAATCCTGCTTTTTTCTCCCTGAGGGGCTTTTGCCTGGAGGAATGTGCTGGGCTACATGGAGAGTCCTGCAAGCTATTAAGAGTGGCTTATGGAAGGCTCTGGAACAGGTTTCAATGCAGCATCACAGCTAGCAGGTCAGGAGGGAATGGCTATGCCTAGAAAGACCCTAACTGTCATCCAGTTTTAGAAGTTCATATTCCTAAGCTATTTTGCTAGGCATGGTGCTCGCTGGGGGAGAAATACAACAGTCTTACCTCTATCAAGTTTCCAATGCTGTATGTATAAATCCATTCTCCTGAGAGAGTTGAGGTTATATACTCCAGGCAAAAAGGGACAAGGAAGAAGAAAATTAACATTCAGTTATGCATGTATTGTAGCACATGCTTGTGGTGCCCTACACACATCCCTGAGAGGGTTTCCAAGCTGAGGCCTTCCCATGCCTCAGTGACTGAGGACACTCTCTGCCCACTGGCATGTGCTTGGCTCACTGAAGGATGGGCAGAGAGAGCCACCTAGTTAATTCCCAAAGGAGCAATCCTTCACAAACAAAGAGTGAATATTGGTGGGAGAGCAGCCCAGCATCCCTGCGCTTCAACCCAATTCCGCTGCACATTCCACATAGTCAATGACAAGTGGGAGGGTTCCAGCTGCCTATAGCAGTGACCTGCTCATTAACATACACGTTCCTACGTTCCTTGAGTCAAAGCCCCATCCTCTGAAAATGCTTCCTGGAATTCACTCCCAAATAACAATATATATTATCCAAATATTAATCACAGGGTTGCTTTCAGGTAAAACTCAAACTAAGAGCTCTGGGGATTTTACATTCACTATGTCTGTTACTTTTCACGCAAACCATGAAGTATGCAGCAAACCCTTTGTCAGATGAAGATGCTGAGGTTGAAAGAGGTTAAACAGGTTCATTAGAATCACACAGCAAATAAGGTTAAAGTCAGGATTTGAGATTATGCCTGTGTGGCTGGTAAACCTGTCTGATTTCTACCATTTGAGGTTACTTCAGATAAAACCCTGGTTTGGGTCTCAGCACACCTACTTTTTGGGTCAAGTCTTCCTTCTCCTTGATGTGTGACCTTGGGGAGACTGATGACCGATAGAGGTTATTTCTATATGTCCATTTAAATGTTGATCAGTGAAACCAATTTGCTGGTGAGTACATGTGGTGCCTATTTTTCCATTCTTGGGATACTTACTTAGTAGAATGGGTTCCAGCTCTATCCAGGAAAATACAAGAGGTGCTATATCACTGTTGTTTCTTATAGCTGAATACTACTCCATGGTATACATATATGACATTTTATTAATCCACTCATGTATTGATGGGCACTTGGGTTGTTTCCACAACTTTGCTTCTGTGAATTGTGCTGCTATAAACATTCAGGTGCAGATGTCTTTTGATGAAGGAATCGGGACAATAAGCAGATTTCAAATTTTTTAAGTTAATTTACGTTTTAACTAGATTTTGAGTTTAAAAGCAAAGACTATTTTTCTTATGATTATTTTACCTGAAAGTTCTCAAGGCAGGGTTGAGTAAGAGCAGGTAATTGAGAGAAGCTTGTTGAGTGCATGGCATCTTCCTTTCTCTAATGCTCCAAGCCTCTCATGCCCTCCAGGGAATTTCCCTCCCCTGCCTTCCGTTTTTTTCTGTTCTTTTGTTTCTCAGACTTGTGAATCATATTGCTTTCCTAGCCTGAAGTTGCCCCTGTTGTTTTTTCCATCTCTTTTCCACACTCTGCCTCTTCCTGGGATGACAAATAAGTCTCTCCCATAACATCTATGGCTCTCTGGTGACTTAACTCTACCACAATGTTCATATAACACTTTATAGCAAATGCCCATCTGTAGTGGCTACATGTCAAGTGCTCCATAGCTAGTGGTCGCTGTTTTAACAGTGCAGGGTTAGATTTACCTGGGCAAGGAAAAGAAGTATGAATGTAAATCTAGAATAGACTCAGGAAAGGACAGCCCATGATCAAAGAGTCAATAGGCCATGTATGGTCTTTATTTCAACAGGTTTTTTGGCAACAATTGAACGTGAGTAGAGGACACAGACATGTTTGTGGATTTTTGTACAAAAAAAAATTGCAAATATTTCCCCAAAGAACATCTTTATAAAGATAGTCATAGAGTCTGGAGCAACTCTGCAGTCCAATGACCTGGGTCTGAATCACACTCCAAATGGATCAGCTCTGGGACATGGGGCAGTTAGTTCACCACTCTGGGATTTAGTTTCCTCTTCATAAAATAAAGATTCTAATAACATCTACCTCATAGAATCATTTGGGGATTCAATAAATGAAATACAAAAGACAATCTGAATCTGTAGGGCATGCTGGCCAAGACGTATTTTGTTCCTGCTGAATTATTCCTCCATTCCCAGGGAGGATTACCCGAGTGGCTTTCCACATAGGAAGGTTAGACCAGTTATGGGCCTGGTGGCTCTGTGCCTAAATGCTCCAAACTTTTCGCCTTCTATTAGGCTGCCCTTCTAAAGGAGTGACAGGTGATCACTCAGCAGAAAATTAATCCCTTTCTTGTAGAGACATGAGACCTGGGAGAAGCTGAATAGCCCACTCCTTCAGGGAGAAGACAGAAATGCCCTTGCAGGGTAACAGGCCATGCTGGGGATCAGCTACTCTCAAAGGCAATAGAGCCTGTGAAAGGAGACTGGAGCCACCTGGAGTATCATGCGTATGTCCCATAGCGTTCCAAGTCTTTGATTGATTCCACAAATAACTGTTGAACCCCTGTGTGCCAGGGACTGTCTCTGTGTTAAGGATATGGAACTAACCTAGACTGTTTGGGGTTCCAGTCCTTGCAGGACTCACTTCATAGTGAGGAGAGAAACATCCAACAAGAAGGCAGAGGAATCCAGCAATCACATATTGTTTAATTGCCAAGAAGGAAATGACTGGTGCAGAGATCCAAAGTAATGGGAATCTGGTTAGCCAGAAGGGTCAAGTAAGGCCTCTCTGAGGAGTTGGTATTTTAAGCAGAGACACGAAGAATTAGTGCTTTTCTCATGAATAGCCAGATGAATCTCCCAGGTGGCAGCAAGAGCAAATGCAAAGGCCCTGTGGCAAGTAGGGGCTTGATTTTGTTTGCTGAATGACAGGAGGCCCAGGTGGCTGGAAGGTGGTGAATGAGGTGAGGTAGTGAAAGGAGAAGACGCTGGCGGTGGCGAGGACTCTTAGGGCCAATTCAGGATTCCGACATTTAGTAAGTACCTCAGGAACCCTCTGGAGGGTCTTTAGATTGTCTGGGAGGGGACAAGAGTAGAATTGGGAGGTGGGGCACCTACCATCCTGGGCATTGGTGTAAGAGATGATACTGCTTGAGCCAGGGTGATGGCCACGGACGTGGTGAGGGTCTGACCAGGGCAGGCGTAGTGGGGACTGAGGAGAGGGTGATATTTCAAAGGCATTTAAACTCTTGAAGGTATTGCTGATTGTTTCTTCTAAAATTTTATAATGACAGTTTTCAAATACACAAAATGTGAACAGGGCAATGGAAAGCATTGTTAACAGCCACACAGCCGCCATTTAGTATTTTGCTTTGTTTGCTTTGTCACATATCTCTCCACCCCTCCATCCATCACCAGCCCATACGGTGCATTTCAGTACAAGGGACAAGATGAGACTCTTCACCGCCAAACACTGCATGTCACAGACCTGCACAGACCCTGGTGGACCAGTTTTATGAATTCACTGTGTGTGTGCAGTGGGAATGAGCTTTCCCTGATCCTTTCTGTGACCTCTTTGGGATTTGTCTTTTCCCAGCCTGCAGAGTGCTCACTTTGGGAAACGTGTAGCGAAAATCTTTTCCCCAAATGAGGTGCAAGAGGGTGGAATCACTTTCAACCAGTGGGGACTTCCAGCCCCTGAAGGGGTGGAAAAAAGAGGGGTGGGTTGTCTCACTCCAAACCTGCACCCACACAGCTGGGCAGACACAGCCAGCCCCAAATAGTTCTAGAAAATTAAGTCCTAGGACATTTGTGACATTTGTGGCTCCTCACATAGCAGTCAGTATGAGAGCTCTTTAAACATGCGTGATGAGAAGGAAAGAGTTCAACAGTCCACCCTCGGCAAAGTCCCTGTCTGTTAATCATTTTTTCACCAAAACTTGAAATCACGTCTCCTCTTCTTGATAAAAGAAAACATGCGGTGTACTTTGGGGTTACTCTATAACTCTTGTTCTCTCTCAGCCATGAGTTGAACTTTATTCATATTGAGACAACATGTATGGCAGGACAGCCAAGGGGCAGGTACCAGGCTTGGCCATGTGCCTTGTTCCCTCCAGCCAGGGCCGAAACCAGCCACACTCACAGATCTAGATCTGAAGCCCCCTGCAGGCCACAGGCCAGGGTCTGGTCTGGGTGGGGCCCTTTAGGAAGGAAACACACGATCACTAACACTCAGTTTATACATTAGGCAACTGAGGCTGAGGGACATTCAATAGCTCACACAGGGCCTGCACATCAGTCATGTTCTCAGGATCCCAATCTGCCAGCTGTCCACAGCAGAGAGAAGAGCTGTCCCTGTAGTCCAGAGAAAGCCCACGGGCCACCTGGTTCAGGTCCACACCACACCGTTTTTCTGCCTCCCTCTGTCTCTAACATGATCACACAGATTTTTACCAAGCCAAAACTACAGAAAATTTCCCACTTTACACCCACTAGGATACAATGTTTTTTTTAAAAAGGGAAAATAACAAGTGTTGAAAAACGTGCAAAAATTGGAATCTTCACATATCACTAGTAAGGATATAATATGGTGCAGCCACGATGGAAAACAGTTTGGGGCTTGTGAAAATGTTAAACATTAAATTACCATATTACCCAGCAATTCCACTCCTAACTATATACGTAAAAGAACTGAAACAGTTACTTAAACAAATACATGTGCTCACATGTTCATAACAGCACAAGTAACTATAGGCAAGAGGTATAAGCATCAGCCAAAATGCCCACCAACAAATGGGTGGATAAACCCCTGTAGTCTATCTATACAATGAAATATTATTTATTATTATTTGGCTATCAAAGGGATGAAGTACTGACACATGCTACAAAATGGATGAACCCTGAAAACATTATGCTAAGTGAAAGAAGCCAAACACAAAAGTCCATTATATGTATTATATGAAATATCCAGATGGGTAAACCCACTGAGACAAAACACACAGTGATTGTTGCCAGGGGCTGAGCATAGGGGAGAGTGGAAGAAAACTTCTCAACGGGTACAGGATTTAATTTTGGAGCAATGGAATGTTTTGGAACTAGATATCTAGAGGCAATGACTATACAACACAGTGAATGTATAAAACCCCACTGATTTGTCCTCTTTAACATAGTTAATTTATGTTACATAAATTTTACCTATATGCATTTTCGAGACTCTTGGAAATACTTTCTAGAAACATGAGACACGTCACCATGGATCCTGCTAAGCCCAGTTACTTTATCAAGGTCCCTGCTCAGCCTCAAGCCTCTTGCTGACCCCAGGAATACAAGGTTCATAGCATGGCCTGTAACTGGATTAGTTCCTAACAAAGAGGAATGAAAATTGGCAAAATTGAAATACTCTACATTGCAACCAAGAAATGACATATTGAACAATGATAGTGATGGTTAAGCTGGGCCTTTCTCACAGCCTGAAATGCTTCTCTCCTTCCCTTCTGTCCAGGCGCCCCTTCTGTCCATGGCTCTGCAAGTGTCACTGCAAGTGTCTGTCCATGGCTCTGCAAGTGTCACTCATTTGGATAGGCCTACCCCACACCAGGAGGCTCCACATCCCTTTATCTCTGCCCTCCCTGACTCCCTGGATCTTTCCAGTCATCTCCTTGCAGTAGAGAACCCCACCTAGGATCTCAGGTTATGACTCCCTCTGTGACAGTCTTGTTCACACTTTGCTGTGTGGTTCTTTGCCCCTGCCATGGATCATAGCACTGGGCACAGGGAAGAACCAATGTAGACTTCAGGGAGGCCCCATGGTTCTGGGGATAACCATGTAACCGATCGGATTAGGGCAGAGGTTGGATGAACTTGGCTGGGCTGCTCTGGGCACCTTGAGAAAGTCATGGGGCTTGGCAGGCACCATAATGACAAGTCTTCTTGGAGTCCACTTGAAATTGCATTAAAAATGCTGGGTGCTTGTTTATTTCCTAATGAGAGGGTTCATTACTTTCCTCTGATCATCAAAAGACTCCATGTCCCAACTACAGGTCAAAAACTCCAGCTTATGGACAGAGGTGATCTCAGCTGAACAAACCCCCTGGCATTCTACTTCCCCCTGAAATCAGGTCAGTTCAAGTAGCCGCACAAGAAGGAAATCTCTAATTTTCTAGTGATTATTAAACCTGCCCTGTGTTCACCTGGGGTGATTCACAACCTAGATTCATGAGAAAAATAATTAATGAAATTTTTGAAATTTACAGCAAAAAGTAAGTTAATTAATGGAATTTTATTCATTTAATAAAGTTACTATTTTTTAATAAAGTTACTATTTTTGTAAAGGCTCTATGTACACATGGTTGACATTAAAAAGGTATAGAACACTGGGCACACTCAAGCACGTTCATAATCCCAGGTCTTTGGGAGGAAGAAACATTGCTTGAGGCCAGGAGTTTGAGACCACCATGAGCACATAGCAAGATCCTATCCTTACAAAAAATACAAAAACTAGCCAGCTATGGTAGTGTCCACCTGTAATCCTAGCTAATGGGGAGGCTGAAGCAGAATGATCACTTGAGCGCAGGAGTTTGGGGTTGCAGTGAGCTATAATGATGCCACTGCACTCCAGCCCAGGCAACACAGTGAGATCCTGTCTCAAAAAAAGGTATATATGAAAAATGTTTAAAAACTATAAACCATGTTTAATTTTTTTGATAAATTAAAAAATGTCCTATTCTTAGTAATTTGAAATTTTTTATATCAATAGTGGGAGATGAATATTATCAAATGCTTCCCCTAAGATGACTGAGAGACTCATATTACCTTTCCCCTTTAATTTGCTGATGAGATATTGGTATTTACACTTTTTCTCTATTAACTACCACTAGAATCCCAGGGTAATATTCTACTTGGTCATGACATATCATCTTTTCATCATCGAGGTATTTGGTTTGCCTCTATTTTGTTTAGGACCTGAAGAACAGCCTGGGCAGATATGAGGAGACATAGACATGTCACATTTGGGGATCTTAGGGAGCACCAAATCATAATTTGCATAGAACATTATGCACATGTGAAGAACTAGCCTGAGTCAAGACTGAAGTAGCCAGCTGAGGTCAGATGAAGAGAGTCTTATGCTCCTGCCTAGAACTGTTTACATTTTATTCCTTGGGTGATAGGTGCAGTTAGAGGAATTTCAGCAAAGCAGGAATGTTATAATATCCACGTTGTCTGAGGCTTTGGTGGCTGAGGAGTGCATTCCTGGAAAAGTCCTGCCCAAATTCAGGCAAAGCAACTAAGGAGGTTACTGCAACAAGGAGAACGAGAAGGTACAGGCTTTGTTGTCCTTTTGCAACACACTCATCTCAACACACTCATCCTTCGTCTTTTCATGCATTAATGTCCTGTTTCATGAATTCCCTTCCACAAGGTCTTCTAGAGTTTCACTGACATTTTAAGATTTCTCATTTGCTAATTCGTTTTTTTTTTTTTTTTTGAGACAGAGTCTCACTTTGTTGCCCAGGCTAGAGTGAGTGCCGTGGCGTCAGCCTGGCTCACAGCAACCTCAATCTCCTGGGCTCAGCGATCCTACCGCCTCAGCCTCCCTAGTAGCTGGGACTACAGGCATGCGCCACCATGCCCGGCTAATTTTTTATATATATTAGGTTAGTCAATTAATTTCTTTCTATATTTTGGTAGAGACGGGGTCTCGCTCAGGCTGGTTTTGAACTCCTGACCTCGAGCAATCCGCCCGCCGCGGCCTCCCAGAGTGCTAGGATTACAGGCGTGAGCCACCGCGCCCGGCCTGCTAATTCGTTTTTTGACCTTTTACGTTCTCCTTTCTGAGAAAACCGAATGACTTTGATTGCAACATGTCAGAACAATTTGCAACATCTGACTTTCTCCTGAAACCATGGGTTCAGAAAATACACAATTATGTAATGTGTAGAAGAATGTGCATGTCATGTTTGTAGTCACAACCAGTTCTGTAGCATTTCTACATTACATGTGCTGGGAGGGGTGGAGGAAGTATTTACGTTAGGTGAGGCTGACACAATCTGCCAAGTTGTTTCAGGAGGCCCCTTGAAATCCTAGCAAGCCTGCCACAGGCACAATCTGGAATCATAAGGCCTGCCTCCCTGCCCTAGCTTGGTGGTTTACTCATGTGAGTGAGTCTTATCCCCATGTGTCTGCTTCCACGACTATACATTGGGAATTACAATTATCCCAGCATGTCTTGTCTCACAGAGTTGCCATGAGGATCAATGAAGAGAGATGGGAAGAACTTTAGGCACTGTGAGGTGCCATGGAGATGTTAGTGGTCATTTTGTTCAGGAAATAGATGCTCTGGGATGGAGTGGAAAGTGAACAGTTGTGATTATGTCCTCTCCCTCCTTCTCCTCTTTTCTTTGCCATAAAGTTCAGTGAGGTGCTTGTACTCCAGCACCCAGAGAGCAGAAAAAACGTCCCCTGCCTGAACCAAGCACACATCAGTGGGTTTTCTAGGGGCGTGAACAGGTCCCAGTGCAGGGGGCAGAGCTCTGGGTACCCCCATTCAGAAGGCCTGGGCTGCAGTGCTGCTCCCCCAGGAATTCTGTGTGGCCTTGGGCAAGGCTGAGCCTGTGATAAAGAATTAGACCTTGGGCTATAAGCTAGAGGACGTAAATGTCCATCCTGGCTCTGCTAGTAATTAGAGATGTAACCTTAGATGTCAGTTTACCTCTCTGAGGTTTAGTTTGCTTCATCTGTAAAATAAGGTTTCTAACAATATCAAGGTCACAGGGCTGTTGCACAGATTAAGTTAATCAGGGAAAGCACTTAGAGTGACACATATAACCTATTGCTGACTGAGCTAAGGCCTATATGTGAGCAAGTGTGAGGGTGTTATTGGCAGTTTGGTGTGAGAGTTTTTTCGGAAGTCTCATTTAAAAAAACCACTCCAGAAGTTAGAACTACTGGCTTAAATAGGCAGTTGTTGTCTCCTAGGTCCATTCTATTTCACCTTTGTTCTGCTTCTTGACCAGAGGCGCTCTTGCTCTCAAACTGGGCTGGAAGACGTGGGGGACCCTAAATGATATAAAGAAGTGAAGGAGAATAAAGGGAATGGATGTCTCAGAAAATCATACAGGGACACAGAGTCCAGAGGGGCGTGCAGTCCTGCAGGGGTCTTCTCATTGGGATGAGGAAGTCCTTGGTCCTCTTGGGTCAAGTCTGGTCATTTTCCCCATAGACAGATGAGGACACAGGCCTAGGTAGGCCCAAAGTTTGAAACTTCCCATTCTCTGAGTGTGTTGCTTCTGTTGTCTTTATATCTTTCAAAGGAGGATAGAGTTTAAAGAAAAAAACAAAGATCAAATGCTTGATACTGCTCGAAGCTTAAGTAAAAAATATTTTTACTTCATAGATTTTATCCTAATTTTTAATCCAATATTCACTTGTATTTATTTGTTCAGTTTGGTTTCTTCCTGTTATAGTATAAGCTTCACGAGGGCAACAATTCTCAATGTTTCATATTTAGTGCTTGACACGTGCCCTGAACACAGCAGACACACAGCCCGACCAACGCACAATGACACTCAGGTGAGATCCTCACCTCCCACAATGCCTACAGAGAACGTCTGTGGACCTGCCACTGTCCTCACCACCACCCCCAACAATGTGGGCCAGAAATGTGGGCTACTTCTGTTCTCCAGCTACCAAAATTCAGAAGCCACACATTTGGCCAAACCAAGCGCCGCTCCACTGAGAAGAATGGGGAGTTGGGTGTGAGTTACAGGAAAATACTCTTACTTTTATTTATTCACACCCTCAAGATTGTGACCTGGAAATTTGAATGTATTACCAAATTGTTCCTGAACAATATTGACTCCCTACAGAGCAAGCAATTCCTTGGTCAGTGAGAAGTCTGGACAGGCTTCCCAGAAGAGTAAGCAATTGGGCTAACAATATTAAAGAACAGAAATATCAGAGTGATGATGCTCCTGACATCACTAAGTCCCTGGACAACCTGTGCACTGATACTGGTAATCTGAGCCTCATGCTTCTCTGTATGTTCCTTGACACTGAACTTTCATTCAATGATAATGACACCAAGAAAGAAGACAAGTCATTTGATGTTGATGAAGACAAGACACTGAGTTTCTCTAATATCTATAATTACTAACCCTTCACAATGTAGTAATTATTTGTCTTTATTTTCAAACTGAATGATGTCTGGGTCTTAGCCACATTTGTACCCTAATCACTTCAAGCAGAGATTTAAAAGGACATGACGAACACTTTGATACAGGAGTGAGCACATGACAGACACAGGGTGGTTGGTATGTGATGTCTTCCTTACTCATTCAACATGACTCTCACTATGCAAATCTCTTCATGTTAGAGGGTGTTACCTTCTCTAGAACAAGTAGCAGAAAGAATATACCTTCTATTGCTTACCTTTGCAGAGCACGTCCATTGACAATGGTTGGGGCACGGTGCCAGCTACATTTTACTTCCAACCAATGACTAGTCTATAGTGTTGGTGTGGATTCCAACCAATCAATTCAGTTCCTGAGGTTCACAGGAGAAGTGAACGATCATGTCAGGCTTAGTTTACTTACAAAATACTCACAGGCAAGCATGTGTTTTGGAGGAAGATGAACAGATTAGTTGGGTTTTTTTTTCCTTCTTTTTTTTTATCTCAAATTCTGTGGGTACAAATATTGTTAGGGTTACATATCTTGCCCCTGCTCCCCCTCCCCATTAGTTTTTATAGTGGTTTTGTTTCCAAAAAAATAAGAAAGGATTTCAGTTTAGGTGAACTAGTTAAGTTGTTGATAGTTATCAAATGACACTGTAACCTTTCCTAGTGTGAATGTATTCTGTGGACCTCTCTGTTTGGAAGCATGAAGAGGGAGATACTCTCAACAATACCATTACTGTGGTCAGATTTTGCATCTTTCTTTTTCCCTGCTCGAATGAGGTAAGAGTCCTTTGCTCTGATAGACTCACAGGGGGGCTGCGGTGGGAATAACCATGGAGATATGAACAAGAATCTCAGACAATTTGCTATTTTATTCCAGAGTCTCACGATGGCCCACAGTGAACCTTATCAGGGAGCAGTAGGTGTTACATACTGATGTACAAGGCCAGCAGAGGACTTTTCACCTTCCTTTGTGTTAGCTTTATATATAATATTTTCTTCTGATCACTACCTGCTGGGAAAACACTTGCAATCACTGAGCCTCAGTTTCTACATCTCTAAACCAGGTATAGCAACATAATCCTATTTAACAGAGGCTACACGAGCCACTGCAAAGAGACATAAATTTATCAGAATTCTCTGGACTTTTATCTTACTTGTCCTAGGTATTTTCTCCCAGCCTCCCATGTCTGTCACTTGTTGATATTCAAGGTTTTCACCACTTCTTCTGTTAATTACCTCTCTGTAGAGCTCTATTAGCCCCGAGGTTCCAGAGGTATGTCATGTGGACACCACTACTGAGAGCATTTATGAGTCTCTCTTCCTCTACTGGGAGGCTGCTTCCAAGACACGGACTGTGGGGCTTCCAGCCCAGGCCTGACACAACACTGACAGATGACTTCCCTCCCCCCCCCCCGCCCCTTTGCCTTGAATCAGTACATAAACAAATAGAAGAATTCTTGCATTAATTTTCCAGGGGCAGCTGTGGATGGTAACAGGTGTTTCCCAGTGAAACCCTTTATCTAGAGATGTAAAACTATAATGACAGACATTTGAGGCTGTTCTATCCGCTCCCAGGAAAACAAAAGGAGTCTGGGGCATGATTGTGACTTAATACATTTTATTAATCAGATGTCCACCCACTCAGGCCAATGTCAAGCTGATCTGGAGACATAAAGGCCACACAAGCATGGAAAGAGTTGGGGAGGACTAATTAACAATTTTGTAGTAGGATTGAGAGAAAGGATAATGAGAAAAGAAAGTGCATGAGCTCAGCTTAACTGTCTTCTATTTATTTTGAGTTTTAAGAACTTTTAGGTTTTATTTGTCAGGCAATTCATGATTCTTCAGGCCAAGCAGACAAGTAACATCACAGGTACCATAATGATAATGAGCTGATATAGTTTTCACATACTTACTCCTGGTCTCTGCAATCAGGAATGCATCTGGGAGCTCACAGGGGAGGAACTGTCACAATAACAGCCATCCTTCTCACCAGCTCCTGCGACCTACTCAGCTCCATTAGAAAATCCCACACTCCTCAAAATGCAGAAAACCTCCTGCTTTGAACACCACTGCCCACATAACAAGGCTCAGATCATCTCCCTCGAGTCCTAGGTGCTGTGTACGCCTGTAGCCACCTCTGCCCCCTCATTGGTGGCTATGGTGGTTGGGGTCCACCTGGACATCTGGGCTGCTGTTCTATTCCTCTCTCCTTTCACACTCATTGTTCCCTCACCTGCAGTCTTCCCTGAAGGAGTGGGCTATTTATGTTCAAGAATATGCCTACCTTGTTGTCTACTGC